TTTTACGAAGGGAATGGGCCAATTTTTTGCGTCTAGGGGCCCTCTTGGGACGCATGTTGGAGGCTTCTTGGGGCCTCTTGGGGGCGTCCTTGGACGTCTGGAGGCCATCTTCAGCATCTCGGAGCCCTCTTGGAGGCCTCTTGGAAGTTTCTTGGGCCGTCTTGGGCGCTTCTTGGGCCGTCTTGTCTGACTGGGGAGGCCTCCGGCAAGCCCCGACGAGCCTCCGGGCCCCCCGGGGTGCACATTTGCGGTCGAGGTCCCGGCCCCGGGCCCCCGGACCCGGTGCGCCGTTATATGTATAAATGTACTATATATATATATATATATATATATATATATATTATATATATATATTATATATATATATATGTACTATAACCATCGCGCGCGCTTCGCGCGCGCTCAAGTTCTAGCTAGGCTTGATAGGCTAACTCATCTAATCTCATTTGGGTCGCTTCTTGCATCCACGGACTCCCTTGGAGGCGCTGCGCAAGCCTCGGAAACGTATAGAAGGGGAAGTGCGGAAACACAAAGTCATTGAGTTCCTTTGGGTATTCAACGATTTGGGGCCCTCAAAGGCTTCCTGGGTTCTTTTTTGGGAGGTGGGGGGGTCTGAATTGTGGTCTGTTGTGCAAGAGTGGACTGGGGTCCAAACTTGGAAAAAAAGGAATTGTGGGATTCCTATGTTTTACAATTGCTCGGCGCTGTTCGGCGCTGTTTTTTGTTTGTGCCTCGCGGGTTTTGTTCGCCGCGCCCCTCAGGGGTGTGGGATCTTCCGGACCCCCTGGGGGTTCTGGAGGCCTCCTGGAGGCCTGGAGAGCCGTCGGAAGGGTGTCTCGGGCTACGCGGGAGCGTGTTGGGCCGTTCTTTACGCTCTGGGGGCTCCTGGGGGTCGTCTTGGGCTGTCCTTGGACGTCTTGGGGGCCCCCCGCGAAGCCGGGAGGCGCGGTACCGGCCAGATGTCAGGGGATGTGTGGGATCTCCGATTAGGAGTCCACTTTGAAAAAAAAGGGGGGGCGCGGTACCAGGCGCCTCTTCGGCAATTTTTTGGGTTTCTTGGCCCGTCTTGGACCCGTCCTCGGAGTCTTATGGGCGGTCTTGGGGCGGTCTTGGACCGTGGAAGCTCGAAAACGCGAGAGAAGACCAAGAACATAGAAAAAAAAACAAACAAAATCGACGATTATGGCCGCTTCGGGCTTTCCCGGGACGCCTCTTGGACCTTTCTTGGGGCCTTTTGGAGGCCTCCTGGGAGCGTCGAGAGCCGTCCACAGGGTGTTTTGGACTGCTTGGGAGCATCTTGGGCCGTTCTTTACGCTCTGGGAGCTTCTTGGGGTCGTCTTGGGCTGTCCTTCGGCGTCTTGGGGTCTCCCCAAGAAGCCAGGAGGCGCGGTACCGGCCAGATGTCAGGGGATGTGTGGGACCCCCGAGTAGGAGTTCCACTTGGAAACAAAAAGAGAATTCTTGGAATTCCTTTTTTTCAAAAATCCTCGATCTTTGAGGATTGGAAGCGAGAAAACATGAGAACGCGAAAAAACATTGGAAAAACTATTGGATCAACGATTTTACCCTCTTTGGGCTCTCTCGGGACGGCTCTCGCAGCTCTCTTGGGCTGTTCTTGGAGCCTCGTCGGGGTCTTTTTGGGGCCTCTCAGGGATCGGGGGGGTGTTGGGTGCCTCGGGTGGTCCCGGAGGCCTCTCGGAGGTCTCTGGAAGCCTCCTGCTCCCGCTCTTGGGCCCATCTTGGGCCTGGTCTGGGGTGGTCTGGGGCTGTCCTGGGCGCTTCTTCGGCAGTCTTGGAGCCTTCTTGGCCCGTCTTGGGACCGTCCTGAGGGTCTCTTGGGTGGTCTTGGGGCGGTCTTGGGAGCCTCTTCGGCGCTCTTGGACCGTTGGAAGCTCGAAAACGCGAGAAGCCAAAAACATGGAAACAAAAACCAATGCAAATCTGCGATTTTGGCCTCTTGGGGCCTTCCCCGGACGCCTCTCGGACCTGCCTTGGGGTCTCTTGGAGGCCACATGGGAGCCTCGAGAGCCGTCGGAAAACTGACTTTGGCTGCTTGGGAGCGTCTTGGGCCATCCTTTCGCATTCTGGGGGCTCCTGGGGGGCCTTGGGCCCTCATGGAGCGCTGTGGAGGCTCCCTGGAAGGGCCGGGGGAGCGGTACCGGGAGCGTTCCCGAGATGTGACGGGGAGGTGTGGGACCCGGGGCCGGGGGGGGGCGGTATCTATTTATATGTGTATATATATATATATATATAAGAAAATAGCGTAGTCTTCGCCGTCTCTGGCAGATTGCAGCGCGCATTCACCTGCAGAAGCTCCCATCCAGCCCTGGCGAGCCTGGGGCCAGTCGGGTCGGCTGCCGACCCGTCAGACAAAAATTACCCTGGCGACGTACCCAACCCTTGCGCAATGCGGGGCATATATACATCAGGATTGCTTCAACGGGGGCGATGACGTAACATGGACGCATGTGATGTTGCGAGCGGCTATCGGAAGGCTAGC